ATAATATTCACACTTTTTTTATCCAAGAATGAATAATAATTTAATGAATATACGAATTAATATAAAAATAATATTAATCAACTTTTCATTTGGATTTTCGAAAATCAAGGGACGAAAGATATATGATATTTAAAAACTGACTGCAAAGGACAAATATAACCGCCGAATATTGTTGTATAATGGCACTTGTTGAAGTTTGTGGCGTTACTCCTAATTTCTTAGATAAGTCAATATATGAAGAAAAATGTGTTGCAGAACAGTTATTAGAGTTGGACAAAAAATTTTTTTCATATCACACAAAAATTTCATTACCTCCCTTTTCAGATGTAAGTTTAAACTTTAATGCTTCGACTTAGTACTAATACTATCATTAATATCTTATGAGCAGTAATTCTGGTATCACTACCACTAGTAGTGTTACTTATTGTCACTATTATTCGTAGTAATAATAAATGAATTTGAGTGCACTTATAAGTGCTTGTTGCCCGCATCTCCACAAATAACAATTTAAAGTTTATCACAATTTTTATTTCCTTTTTTTTAACACTTAGATGCTTGAGATTGACAGGCTTTATATTTATATTTGTTATTAAAAGCATTCACCGATGTTGCTTCCAGAATATCATGATTGACTATTTCATTCCATTTATTTACTACTCTTTGTGTATAGAAACTTCATCGTATTTTCTTATTACAATGTTTTTTGTATATTTTTGTGGGTCCCTTGGATTCATTCTAAATTTTTCAGCATATATATATATTTTCAAATCCCTCGCTAATATTAAAGGTTTCAATTATGTCTCCTCTATGTCCCCTCTCCTCCAGTGTAGTTAGATTTAATCTCTTCAGTCACTCTTCATATGCTTTATCATTTAGCTCAGGAACCAGTTTTGTGGCTCTTCTTTGCACTCTTTCCAAGGCATCAGTATTTTTTTCTTTTTAGGTATGGTGATCAAGTTTGTACAGCATACTCCAAATGTGGTCTAACATAGTCTTATATAATATCAAAAATGTCTCGGCATCCAGAAACTCAAAGGAAGATCTTATGATTCCAAGAGTTTGATTGGCCTTCCTAGTAACTTATGAAATATGGCACTGGACTTTCAAGTCTGAAGAATGTAATATCCCTAAATCTTTTTCAGTATCTTTAACAGTTAGCTTAACCCCATTCATACTTATTTCCGAATGCATAACCTTACACTTTTCAATATTAAAATCCAACATCCACTCCTTTGACCAATTTGTTATATCTTGAGATTGGACCTTAATTGCTCAACCTGGGCTTTAGTTCTTAGTGAATTATATATATTTTAGAATCATCAGCAAACATTTTACATGATGATTTGATATTCTTATGTAGATAATTAATGGATATAGCAAACAAGATCGGTCCGAGCACTGTTTCAACTGTTGCTCCTTATAGGGCTGCTCTGTTGAACACCTTCCATTCTCCAAATTCCAGTTCTCTGTTTGAACCCATTGCAATTTGTTTCTTGGTCTTTTTTTCTCTTAAAACCTAATGCATTGGGTATATCCCATCTATCAGACAAAATCCAAACACCGATGTCAATCTAGTCAACCTTCATGGAAAATCATTAAATAATCACTCAAATAAGGGTATGAAGCTGAGTGCTCACACCCACAACGTCTCAGCTTCTACTACCTTTCACTGTCTATAGCCAGTTGTGGGAAGGAAGTTACCCTTAAATTTCTTAAGGTAGAAATGAATTGAAATGAAGTCTTTTAAGATTTCACATTTTTTGTGCCTTTTAAAATTTAATATTTAATATCTTTCTTTAATATTGATTGTAATTCTTTATCTTTGATAACTTCTAAATTTCTTCTAACTATATGGTTATGAAAGATGTCTTTGAAAACACTATTATTACAGTTACAAGGTAAGTTGTAAACTTCTGTTTTATTACTTTCTTCAATGAATTTTTTAGAGTTAAAGAGAAGAGGTCCTATAGACTTATTATATTTAAAACTGACTATCGGTTGAAATGATTTTATGGGAAAAATATCTTCTTGAATACTTTTATGGAACAGGGAAGGTAAATATAAATCATCATAAACTTTATGTTTAAAATTAGTTACAATATCACATTTCTCATTTTTTTCTTCACTGAAGGGAGTATAAGTTTATGATTCCATTTTAATCTAAATTTAATAGGATCTATAATTAATTCTTTAACATGGATATTTTTCAACTCAAAGTTTAACAAATATTTTGACAGATATTTGAGGTTTGCATTTGTTAATTCAAACACTTGTTTTATTAGACATTTCATGAGATTAACAGTTCTGTCAAGTACAGAATACATATTTTTACAAAAACTTTCAAAATCAATCCATTTCTTTCTATTTTTATCTTCACCCCTATTTTTATTTTGTTTATTTCTACAAATACTTATTTGAAATAAATTTCTGATACAGGAATCTTTACTTATTACTTCAGCAGATTTATTATGAAAGTCACGATTTAATCCATAAGGGTAAAGAGTTTTTTCTTTGAGAGTATGATATTCTTCTCTTTCTGATACAGTACTTTTTACATTATTAAATGAATACTTATTAAGATGACTTATATCTATTGAATGAGGAAAACCCTTATTACTTTGCGATCTATGTAGGTTAACCCTTAGATATAAAGGATTAGTTGTTTGTCCTACACATTTAAGTCCACATATACCACAAGTTAATAAATAAATGATATTATCTACTTTACACAGTGGTACATTTTGTCATACATTTTGAAAATCCATGGCTGCCAGACAGGTTAAACATCTGTATCTTTTGTAAGTAAATTTTCTATGTATTGATGTAGCATATTTTAATTAACTGATTAACAGCTAGATAGGCTATTAAACAGTATATGAGGGTAACAGAATATTCTTAAAACAGGAAACAAGAGAAAAGTGCAATAAAATCAACACCTCAACATAATTTTCCTTTAAATAAATAGCTCACAAACTATTGATTACATTAATTATTAACAGGTGATTAAGTCAGCACTGTAAAACAATAATGAGTTAAATATTGCATTATCATTATCAGTTGTGGGAAGGCAGTTACCCTTAAACTCCTTAAA